GTATAATAAATCAACAGATCAACAGATGTGTCTGCGGATATCTAGGGATTCAGAAGGGTATCGAGACAGTGAAGTAGATCCATGCAATCCTCGGGGAACCGATCTTGCAAGAAATCTATCAGATGTTGAACGTAGTGTTCCCTGGCTTTTTTGAAAGCTTGAATGTCGCTTGAATTGGTCACTTTGACATCCTTGTATGTGTGCCGTCTTTAATTTCATTCAAACGGTACAGCATGTTGCTTTATAACATAGCCAAAGGTCGGTGTATTTTTGCTTTATACATTTTAGGCTTATTCTCTAATTCAGATTGTGTTAGGGGGGCGGGATTATTAGGCAATTTTTATCTGACAATTTGACCGGAGAGATTTAATTTTGTCGGACATTTCCTTTTTTTCCCGGCCAATGTCCGGTAATTACCCTGCTCCACACGTAGGTCGGATCTCACCATCATCGAGTGCATCTGAAATTATATGAAGAAACAGAAAAAAACAGAGACTAAGACCAGAAGAACTGAGACAACGTCTCGAAGGTAGTGCCTGTCTGCCTGCAAAGCAGTACTGTGAAAAAGGCACTTGTGTAAAAATGCTGTAAATGAGAATGTTTTCAAAAATAATGTCATTATCATAAATAGATTTTATTTATCAATTCACTTTTATTAGTTAACTATTATTAACTATTATTAACTTTTAACAGTCAACTAAATCAAATCAATAGGTTTTTAGTACCCTTTACGTTTAAAACAGCTTTTGTCCAGGTTTACACATAGTTTAGTTTTGTAGGTTTTTTCAAGCGTCTTAGTCTCTGTTTTTTCTGTTTCTTCATATAATTTTAGATGCACTCGATGATGGCGAGATCCGACCTCCATGTGGAGCATTGGCTGTTGTCAGAATCCTTGTGCATTCAAAAATTTCACTGTTTTTTTACAATTAATGGCACAATTAATGTCTGGAAATGTAAACTGATATTTCCTACTGAGACACTACAACAAAATATATAAATAACTGGCTTAAAACCATTTCTTTGAGCTAAAAATACTAGTGTGCCTAAGACTTCTGCACAGTATCGTAATTTTAAAGTTTTTTTCACGTACTGATTTCGATATCAGTATTTATCACTAAGGTGGGATTGTCTATTGCAGTGTTTCTCAAACTTTTTCTGCCATTCCCCACTTTGAAGGTAGGGAAGGGTTTGTGCCACACCTGCCCCACCCTTGCAATCGACTCAATTTTTTCGAGTAGATAAAAATAATAATGAAATTGTGTTTTTATTTTGCCTCTGATAACATCAAATATTTAATGATTGCTCCCCCGGAAGAAAAGTTTGTACATTTTAAAGATAAATTCATAAATCTGGTGCACTTTGAAAGTTCAAAATTAAGTGATTAACTAATTTAGTGTCTTCAATTAGCCTGGTTTGTAGAAGGCTACACATATTTTCTGAGCCAGAGACAGGGAGCGCTCACCGTTTGACATCACAACTATTCAGTGTTTTCAACCACATAGTGTTTATTTTAGATTCAGACATTTAAATTCACATAAGTTACTAAAAAAGCAATACATTCAGAGTTTGTCAAATACACACTTATGTCTATGAAAGCGGAAATAATAATTATTTCCATTATAATTAGACAACACGTATTATTCATATCAAATACATCATACCAAGTCAGTGGTTCACAACCTTTTTTTTTGTCTGTGACCCCCTTTTTCCCGAGAAAATATTTTAGGGCCCCCCTTCACATTTAATGATATTATCGCTCTTGTAAGCTTGCAGCAAGGATAACAAAATGTGTTTGTTTGTTTTTTTCAAACAAACGATATGTTTATGCACAAATAATAGCCTATAATATTGAAAATACAATGACTAAAACATCAGTAGGCCCTTTGTAATTTAACAACGTAAGCCTAGGAGAAGCCTATTAATTGGCCATATTTGAAATGCAAAAATAAAATTATTCACACTGGTGTTCATGTAAAAAAAAAAGAATATCTGCTATTAAATGACTGTTGTCTGGGGCCTCAATACTTGCATGTTATCTGTGAGGCTTTATCAATGTGAGGCTTTATTTTTACACTTTTGGCGCTATAGCGAGCAATAATAAACTTGCATTTATTAACAGAATAATGCGTCTTTCGGAAAGAACAGTGTAGCTGGAACTACTTCTCTCTGTGTACGTCTATGACGAGTCACGCAGGTACTGTAGTACTCCGCAGTGGCAGCGATCTGAACCAGTGTAAAATAGTCCCAATGTAAACACTTATTATAGGTGTACCATTGTGGCTCAGGATAAGACAAAAACACGGATTGGAAAATGGATTCATGATGAACTCACTCATATATACATTTTGTAAATTTTGAACAGAAAAAAATTAAGGACTTTTATTTAATGCTCATTGCTCAAACCTTCAAAATATGTGAAGGTTCTTGTTTATTCTTGTTTTCATTTGTTTAAGTTCAAGATCTGAGGTCAATCATCCATTGTTGATTTTAGTACCTCAACAAAGCTGGGGGCAATAAATGAACATGGAAAAGAGACCTTTTGTTGCGTCGTGGCTTCGAGCTGGGTCTGGTTAGGAAATGGTGAATCAGGATTTATTCATGAAAACGTTTGTACACATTTCACACTCAAATTCGTGCATCCGCATGCTTAGTGAATAAGACCCAATGTCATTGTTTTCCACAAAAGTATGCTTTTACTGCATTTGGGGCTGTTTTCAGGGTTTGCATTAAGTCTGGGGATAGTTACACTTAATTTTTGCAGCTTTGCATATAGTTCAACTTCAAGTGTTTGTATTCCCTGTGCGAATAATCTATTTTATTACTATTAGTAGTAGTAGTAGAAGTAATAGTAGTAGTAGGAATGAGGAGCACTGCTGCAAAAATCTGCCTTTGTTCAATGTCATTACATTGACCCACATTAAAAGTAGGGTTGACTAATGACAATATTGTCGTATATACCTTCGTGCTCATACATACGGGGCGAGTATAAACCAGGCTTCACACATTCCACGTAAATAAAATTGATGAGCTATATCGAAAAGCGGGGCTCAAAAGTAGTAGCTTTTGCACAGGATGAACGTTTTCATAGTTCCTCATAAAATAGCAAAACAACGATAGATGAAGCTAATTTTTTTCATTTGCATTGTTCTTGCATTCCATGTAAAAAGTCTAGCAAGTAAAATAAAATAAAAATTACTAGCCAATGGTGACTCGAGTTTCAGTGTTCTTCGAATAAGTAAAGTAAATACTCAAATAAAATGACAATGCAATAGAGTAGTGTGTCGAGATGATATCAGAACCCAGAAGGCTAATTCGCCAGTGGTTCCTTCAATGTTTCATATGGAGTTTTCCAATTTATGAGTAAAATAAAAGTAGTGGTAAATATAATTTGACGATCCCTTTATGTTTTGTTCTACAACATAAACTGCACATATCCATTAATATAATCCCCCAAAATAATTTTGAAGCAGTTATATTTATTTTTTCAAACATACGTTTATAATAAGTAACTAGATAAGACGGTATGGGATATGAGTGTATACAGTTTTAGCTGTAGAAACGTTTTTTTTTACGACATGGAATGAGGCAATACCGTTTACATCGATACAGTAGTTTGATTCGAGCACATCTGAAAATTAGAGGAGGACGCAGTGTGAGCTCCTCCAGTAAAAGTACATAGTACAATTTTTCCTAAACATGTTATATTAAGGGCTTCAAAATAACTGGTAAGATGGTTAAGTTTATAGCAGCTTGCCCTGTCAGATGCTGACTGACAGATAAATACTTGCGCTGTTTAATGCGTTTGAGATGTGGTGCTTTCCTCAGTACTTAAGTTATATTTCACAGGTATTTTCTCCATTTGTAAATGTTGGAGAAAGTCAAACAAATATGTCAAATTTACTGTCAGGAGAGGACAAGCTTCTGCAAATGAATCTCCGCAAAAACTGAAGCTTCCGTGATTGAGCGCGCCAAACAGACAGGGCACAATAGTAGCACAATAATTCTGACTAAAATATACATGGCTAAAATATTTGTTGTTGGAGACAATAAATGTGCCATGTCGAATTTTAAACCTACAAGTATATTTTCATGAATGTGACCATTATAATGGGGTAAGCAAATGCAGGCTAATATAATTTGTGCTTTTGTTTTTATTTAATTTGTTAGTTTAGCCTTTAGTCAATTTAAAAACAAAAGCATTATTTTTTTTTAGATTGTAATGTTACAATGTAATGTGATTTTAACCACCTTTTTGCATTATATATATTGTATAGCCTACATTACATTTACTGTATATACTGTATGTTTCCATATCCTTCAATATCAACATTGTTTGTAGGATATCATTTGGTAGGATGTGAAGATGTCAGATTTTCTTTATCTAAATAGTAAAACTAGATATATATTGCAATTATATTCCCATTTAACCAAAAAATACAGAGATATGATTTTTTGGCCATATTGCCCAGCCCTAGTAGAATGTCAAAGTATTCTCAAGTTACGAATATCACAGGCTTAATTTTACTCATAAATTAAAAAAATAAAAACATTATAAAAAGTAAAAACCCATAGGAAAATCTCGATGGAACCACTGGCGAATTAGTCATGTGGGCCCTGAGGTCATCCCTACACCCCTCTATAACCATATACAGTACAGAATACAGACAATTTATTTTAATTTTTATTACCCTTTAAACCATTTGTAATACAATCACACTGGTTAAACTGAGAAGTTTTTACGTCATTACAAAGTAGCTTCATTTTAAAGGGTTAAGTGTCACTGTCAAAGTAAAGTATAATTGTCAGTTATTGGTATTAGACAGAACTAGCTGAGAATTATCAGTTACTGGTATTAGACCTGAAATTTAATTTAGATTTAAAATGTGTGCAACAAAAAACCTTAAGTGAACAAATTTTGTGTTTATTTAGTTAATTTGGTGGATAAAATATCACAGCACGCATGCATTAATAACTGGTAGTAATTGCTTCAGTGCTCTTACCTCCCAGTCTAAATAATCCCCAACATCCTCAAAGTTGGTGAGCAGAGACACTGAGCAGAAGAGGCGCTGCAGCTCGTCCCTCGTCATGGGGGGAAAGCGACTGTCTTTAAGGGCACTGTGAAGGGGACATGAAGATGAGATTTAAGACAAAGCATGACATGGGTGCAGTTTGACAACCTCAATAGTATAATTTACATTAGGTAACATTTTATTTAATTTTTATTTATTTGTTTGCTTTATACCAGAGGTGCCCAATCCTGTTCCTGGAGATCTACCTACCTAGAGTTCAGATCCAACACTCCTGACTGCAGAGCTGCCAACTTTTGAGTTTAGCTTGGCGTGAGACTTCTCCCGGTGGTGTGGGGGGGGGGGGGGGGGGTGCAGGGCATAGCCTATTTTGTCATAGAGCGTGAGTTCATGAAAGAGATTGATGCACTAGAGTTCGAATCCGCCTTTTGCCGAACATATAAGATGTAAAATGTATAAACTAACATAAAGGTCTCTAGCGTTATATTTTGCCAATGAACTAAAAAACGAAGCCATGACATTGCTTTTTGCCTTCATTAAACAGCACAAGACTTTAAGAATAGGCATTCTGTTTGTGCTGGGTGTTTGAGAAACTTGTGCACTTTGCTCACGCGAACACGGAGCAGTTTTTCCTGTGAGTGAGACTGGAAAACCCGTAGTGGATGTAATCGGAGTGTTAACAGAACGCTTAGACTTCAGAGAGGAATTGGCTTTGATTCCAGTCCTGGTTTTGCGTCCGTGCCGTTAGGAGCTCAACATCTGTCTCGTATGCACGATCGCTCTAGACTAGATTAGAGGATATTTTAACTAATTTGGGGTAAAACTAGTCGATCACGAGTGGCTCAACTGGTGGATTTATAGATAAACTTATTTTTCATGTATTTTGCCGACTGGCTTAACACTTTAGCGTGAGAAATCGGGGGTGTTATGTGAGAGCGTGAGAATTAGCTCAGTTGCGTGAGTCTCACGCTCAATGCGTGAGAGTTGGCAGCCCTGTGACTGTAATTATCAAGTGCTCCAGAAGATCTTATTAGCTGGTTCAGATATGTTTGATCAGGGTTGGAGCTGAACTTTGCAAGAAGATAGATCTCCAGGAACAGGATCAGGAACCCATTTTATGCCAAGTCAGCATCTAAAGGTGGATGCACACCAGATGAGAAGCGCAGATTTGCGTCTAGTACCGCACACCAGACACTCACATTCTGTTGTGAGTTAAGATTATGGTTAATGGTTAAAGGGGTGGTAAAATGGCATTTTCACAAGATCTAAAATAAATTTCTGATGTCCTCAGAGTGTGTGTGTGTGTGTGTGTGAGTGTGTGTGTGTGTGTGTGTGTGTGTGAGAGAAGTTTTAGCACAAAATACCACACAGATATTTTTATTCATATTTATATATTATAGCATGTTAAAGTTGTCACTTTTTGAGGGTTTGCAAAAACACACCGTTTTGTGCCTGGCCATATAAATGCAAATGAACGGCTGCAGAGGGTTTTCAAGAGCTCATGTGAGTTAGCAGCTGCGATTTCCTCACACAGACGCACTAATATGACAGAAACTGTTCTCCCTTTAATGTTAAAACAGAGTCAGTCAAAGATGGAAAGACTCAAGAAGGGGCTTATGCACATTTTAGGGTTGGTGACATCACTAACCCGAGAGGAATGTCCAGCCGTTTGTTGTAGACCTTTTCTTTAAAAGCAAATATCTTCCTTTGCTTTGAACTTTGAGCATTGTAACTTTGATAATGTTGTTTATGCTCAAACGCAACATTACACACTAAAGTTAGAAAAGTGAAATCATACTTAACCACCCCTTTAAGATTATGTATGTACTGTATGTAATATGTATTGTATGCACCTGGTTCCTCCGGTAGGTGGCAGCACATGACAGTGAATGTAATTACAAAAGGCAAAGTTGATGTCGCACTGAAAAATTGATTTCGCACTGACGTTAGTGTATGAAGAAATATGGCACAGAAAGAGCTACATTTATTATATATTTCTTCCTGTATGTTCAAGTTGCAAAATTATGAATGTAAAACTAAATGTATCTTGCAGCACAGGGTAAACCCAGTATGTACATTAATGACGTTTTGGGACAAAAATAATGTAGAAAAAAAAATAAAATAAAAAAATGTTAAATGACACTTTGGATTTTAAACAGCCTCCTGAACTGTAGCTGGGCACCACGGACAGAAGCCAAGTGGAGCCACTAGTGTGCATACACTCAAATTTTAAACATGGCCTGACAAGGCGCTTCTCATTCAAAAACACAAAATATGTTAGCTGCAGTGTGTGTCTGTGTGTAAAGACTACCACTGAGAGTTTTATCTTTGTTAGTCTTTGTTAGTTTTTAATTCCAAACAGTCAAAATGACAAATATGGGAATTAGTGACATATCTCTCTTAACGGGTTAGCGAGACAGCTCTCAGATTTCATAAAAAAATATCTTAGTTTGTGTTCCGAAGATGAACGAAAGTCTAACAGGGTTGGAACAACATGAGGATGCGTTTTTGGGTGAACTAACCCTTTAATACAACAAAAAAGGCTTCAGTTTAGAATCAATAATGCTATTAAAAGAAAGAAGCAGCAGTAAAAAATTATATGATTTTTATCTAGGACTATTATATATAATGCTAGGACTATTGCTATGGAGCCTGATATTTAAAACAGCCTTTATCACTTTCTGGTTATACTCGTCACAAGGGATAATCCTACCAGTGCAAAATAAGTAAAATAAATCAGGTTACAAAAAATTATAATAAAAATGAAATATTAATGAACTTGTAACAATAATTATTATACCACAAACCTATTGTGAATATGTTATAAGAGCTGAAAGCCAGAGCTCTTTAGAAGATATTATTTGCAATAATCCGGTTGCACATCATAGGCCTACATCGCAAGTGTATAAAAATAAACAGAGTAAACCAAAAAACGCAAAGGTATAAATTGAGCCGCTTTTAGAACAACATTATCAATTAAGCCCTTAAATTTAAAAAAAAAAAAAAAAAAGTGTGAAAATCTGTTTGGCCTGTTGGATAAGGTTTGATAAATAACAAAAATGTAACCTTTCACCTTATTTTTCCAGGTTTTTTTTAATAAATCAATTTAATTAAAACTTCCCTGCACCACTGTGTGTAGGATAAGCTATTGGAGAATGAAAACTAATCCATATCACTATCTAGCGTCCAAGTTGTACAGTACAGTGATGTCACGAAACACAATCACATATTCCAAACAGGAATGGCCTTAAAAGAGAAATGTTTCAATGATTAGGCTTATTCTGCACACAAATAAAGTCTATATATTTATACAATGATAATGGCAATATGTTTAATAGGCGTGTGTGTTGTTAATTTGAGCTTATATCCACTGTAATTAGCTAAAAAAAAAACATACAGTATATGTTAAATATGAATCCATAATGTTAATCTCATGGTCACAGTATGTTTCTCTTGACCTGCTTTTTCCTTTCCCAAAGTTGAGCTTGATTAATACTTTGCAAACTGATGGTTTCAGTCGTTTGTTTAAAACTTCTATCTAAAACAGCTGTTTAGTTTAGCTATTTAGGCCTACATCTTATCTCGCACTTTATGACAGTTGACTGAAGCATCGTGCGGGGAACTTTGAGTTCACTCCGACTCAAATATTTTGACATTGACGAGCTGTCATTGTTAGTCTGCTGAAGCAGCTCAGACGAGAAGGTCAGTTATCCGTGCAACCTCAATTGTGGGTACGGCCCTGTCCCTATGCACTTTTATATTTGGTAATGATCAGACTTCTAATGTCAAATCTAGCAGTGCTAGAACTGACTATTGTGCGCGCACGCGAGACGCCGGCGCACGATTACGTGGGAGTTTTTCCTAAGCAGTGAAAATATATTGAATATTGATATATTGAATATAATAATTTTGAAAAGGGGAGGGAAAACAGAAATCTGTGTCACATATTTTGAACTTCTATATATCCCTAAGTGAAGAACAAAAAAGAATTTCGCCATGTGTATATCAGAGCCTTAATTCTTCATCATTGCTTCTTTAGCCCATCCAATTTATACATTATATGGACAGAACAAAGAACTACTACTACAACAAACTACTCATTTAAAGGGGTCATGAATTGAGAATTCAAATGTTCCTTGATCTTTTGACATAAATCAGGCCTTTGTACAATAAAAATATCCTGCAAGTTTCAGAACTTCCTTGTTGAAGTATGACATGTGACGAAAGACCGCCTCTGCAGAAGATCATCAATGCCTACTTCAACATCATTGCTTCACCCCACCCAATTCGTGCATGTCATGTAGTAGTAAATATGAGAAAGAGATGTAAACACAGGATTACTCGGGCAACAAAAATGATATAGAGATGCCATAGAGGATTGCAAGATGTTCTGCAGTACAAAGTTGTGGAAAAACAGTCTTTTAACTGCCTTCCTTGTAGAGATGCACCGATGTATCGGCCACCGATATTTATCGGCGCGTTTTATTTGATCAATTTACAACAATGGTTTATTTTTTAAATGTGTAAAGGCACTACACAGTTTAAAGTCTGTTGTGTAATCCTAGATTGATCCATAGTCTAATATTCCTGCTGTGCAGCTGTCTGCTTTATAATATTAAATCAAACAACAAACGATTAACAAACAAACAAACAAAAAAAACTCACTACTCTTGACTAAATAACTTTTTGTAACTTTCATAAGGATTAATATGTACATTATTTATAGGACCCTATGATTTCCGCGACATGGAAAACAAGGACGGAATCACGGAATTCAGTCATAGAAACGTTACTGTTACTGTTGTAACCTCAGTTCCCTGAGAGGCAGGAACGAAACATTGTGTAGCAACGCTGAGGGAACTCTTCCCCATCTCCAAATTTCCTGAAACCTTGATATGATAACACCAGTAAAATAACTGGCCAATTGTTGCGCATATGCAAATCACATGCAAATGCTGATGATCCCTCAGGCAGTATAGTAACAATTGCTTTAGAATCTAGACTGAATGCTTGTACAGCTGATCAAGCCGCAAACACGACGGTATATGCAGTATCATTCCCGCCTCTCAGGGAACCGAGGTCACAACA